AGAGAGAGAGAGAGAAGAGAAAGGATTCATACAAGATTGTTTTCAGTGAATAAAAAAAAAAATAGACAGCACGCGGCTGAACTCGAATCGAAATAAAGAAAGATTGGTACTTACCGGCAATGGCGACGAACAGGAAAAATATCCACGTATCCATGAGTCTGCCGGTTGAGAAGAAGCCACCGCTGCTGGCTGAGGAGGCTCGCTTGTCCATCACGCACCAGAACGCATAACACCTGATCTTGACACCTAGAGTACACTCCTGTGCTCCTTCTTCCTTTCAAAGATGCACCCACCGATTTGCACGGAACGCGCGAATCACTGAAAGAGATTCTTCGAAGAACGCGCGCGCGAGCCGTCTGTCACAAACTTCACTCTGTCTCGACCAAGTCGTCCTGCCGCGCTTTAATACCGTTCTTTCACATCGTACTCGACGAAAGTTTTCTCCCGCAGAAACTCACGCGACGAACGAAACGAGACAAACGAAACGGCGATAATAACGGTGACAGCGACGGCGACGACGACGGCGACGGCGACGACGACGACGACGGCGACGACGACGACGGCGGCGACGGCGACGACGACGACGACGACGACGCTGTTCTGTGATCGCGCGCGCTGCCGCGACGTGTGCGCCTACGCGTGCGTAGATATGTTACGCACTCTCGCCCGCCCGCGTGTGTATATGCATGCACGTTACGTCGAAATGCGTTGGCTGCTTACGTTTATGTTTGTGAATGTGCACACGCGGAGATGAGATGTTGCACTACCGGCGCCCGCGATGCACGCCGGAATGAAACAGATGGACGACGGAGACGACGCCGTGTTCTTCGCGTTCGTGCGACAAACCTAACACGTTGAAGTTAGGCGTGTGAGACGAAATGGAGAGAATGAAGACGCGGAGCGAAGGAACGTTGCTCCTCGACGACGTGGAGCGCGAGCGGCGTGTGTACAGCCGACCGTCGTGCTCTCACCGCCGCGTTACCCGGAGTATTGACCGACTCGACTCCCGTCACGGCACGGCGCGGTGCGGGCGAAGGAGGGGAGACAGTAAAACGCGGCGAAAAGAGAGGGGCATAGCAAGCATGCTCCGTGGTGACTGCCTTATAACTAGTCTTACTAGCTGCGCGCGCACGTCGAATCTCATACTCCAGCGGGTTGAGCCAGCCAGCCGGCCGGCGCTGGCCGGCGCTATGCACGACGTCGAAATTTCTGTTATGTGTATGTACATACATACATACATACAGGATGTTTCATTTTCAACAATGCATCTAAATATTTCGAAAACGAGACATTTTTGGGGGAAAAGTTTCAGACGAAAGTTGTACGATTATTAGGGCGCGTGAAATGGTTATGTTAGTTTAGTTTTGAATTCTATCCATCACATGGCTAGGTCAAGGTCAACTTGATTTTTTTAAATAACATATATTTTTTGGTATTTTTGAAAAATTTATTTCTTTTTTAATTTAACGATGTATAAAAAGTATGGAGTCGATCGAATCTTGAAAGAATCCAAGGCTAAACTGAGATCACCACCTTATGTTTTCCTGGCAACTGCACAACTTTTATCTGAAATTTTTTTTCCCTAAAAGTCTCATTCTCATCTTTGGCAAGAAATATTTAAATGCATTGCTTAAAATGAAACATCCTGTATATATGCGACCTGTGCGAATTAAATCGAAGCGATCCGCGGCTACGAGAACGAGTCGTTAACCCACGCTTCGTCAGTGACAACTTGAATTGGCCGCAACGGCAACACATCCACGCCTCTTATATCGGTAAATATAATAATAAAAAATACTGACACACTATATTTGTTATATGAAAGAATATTAAAATATCAGTATTCCCAATTTTAACATTAGTTTCTAAAAGAAAACTTTAGAATGCCTAAAAGAAATAATAGATTACTGCATAAGAAATTGATTTCTATTAAACTACGAGAAACTACAAAAAACAATATAATAGAACAATAGAAAATATTGTTTTCAGTAAGCGAGAGAACATAATTAATATTTTTCTTTATAATGTTATTGTGAAAGAGATACAAGCAATGTTTCCAGTGCGTAAAAAAATTGCTAAATTAAAAAAAAAAAAATAAACAGAAAGTTAGAATGTTGAATTATTTAAATGTGAGCAGAAGCAGTGATATATGGATTCATGAAAAATTTCTACACGAATTTATCTTTCCCCTTTTCGATTCGCGAAAAACAATTACTACTTATACATATTTTGTGTTTATATACTTCAAAATAAAATAAAATAAAAAAGCAATAAAAAATTGATATATGAATACCTTGATTCAAGATAATAAAACCCATAATAAGATGTTTGCTATCGTGGTTCTAGCATACAAGATAGAAAAGATTTATGTGTCAAACAGAACAAAATTACATACGACCTGCACTGTATTTTTTTATTATATTATTTCATAAAACTAATATTATTAAAATATAATTACAAAATTAATAGATTATAAGAATCTGTTTTAGTATTTTTAGTTAAAGATAAAACCGTACAAGATCGTTACTAAAGTAATAAAATAAACCTACATCTAAAGTTTACGTCTCTGATAGCGCAATTAATGTCGGAATGAAGTCGGAGTAAAATCAAGGTAGTAAACGTGTTCAAATACGTCACATTTTCTTACTTGCCTCAGAGCCTCACCTCTGAGTCAGAGGTGAAAACTGTTATCATGCTTGATATTGCGATAAGGCATCGCACACCGCATGCCGACACTTTGCCATTGTTAAGAAGGAATTCTGTAGACGACGAGATGATATATATATAACGTGCTAGGGCGAGGAAGAAGAGAAAAAGAAAGAAAATATTAAACTTTTTTGTGTTAACACATTTCCCTGCGGACTATGCGGATGCAAGCGTTCTCTTTTGTTCTATAATGTTGACCTACTTTTTCGTTTTTTTTTTCCCTATGTAAATGCGTACAATTGCCTGATAGACACGCAAAAGTAGAAACGGAATACTCATCGGAAACGTAATACGTCAAGCGGGACACATTTTTCCGATATTCCATCTTTCATATCTTGTCGACACAATATATCGATTGAAAGAAATCAAGAGACCGAGCAAAGAGAGACAATCGATGTCGTACTGCATCAATCACTTTAACAAAACATACTCTACATTCATTTATTGCAAAATGATTTTAACGTATTTTAAACATATATGCACGTGAATTGTAACTAATTCTAGAATAAGCGTCCGGAATGTTTTTCATCGATATTTTCAGGCTTCTGTATTTCTGAAAGTATTTTTCGTGACACGAATTTGCTTTTAAATCTGAAAAACAGTAATTCTGAGATGCCATTCGGTGCGGCGTTTAATTTTTGTGTGTGGGAAAGAGAATTTAAATGAAAAAGATACATGCTTTGTAACTGTAATCATAAAAAGATACATTCTTTGTAGCAGTAACATGTCAAGCTCCACATTTTTTACGATCTGTATTTTTCATAACGTAAATTGCTATTTTCATAAAATTATCAAACTGTAAAAATTAAACTTTATAAAAAAACAATCACATAAAAATTAAAATCTTATAAAATATATTCGACAGAAAAAAAGAGCACTTACAAAATTACTATTCTTCCGCTCATCGAATTACTTTTTATAAATTTAGTTTTATCCATTTTCCAACAAGTTTACGTGTACGCTACTTTTATTGACGAATTTGAGCGTTAAAGATGGAGCAAAGTATATGAAAGAAAAGAGACGAAATCCCGAGAGAAAGAGTTGTTGTAAACACAAGATATAATTTATTATCAATGAACTTCACACATACAGATGGGCACAATTAGTGACATGTTCACAAAATCACGTACAATTATTAACAACACACGCACATAAACACGCTCTTTTTAAGAAAAAAATATTTACGCACGCTCGCGTGCGTACGTATGCGTATATACCTGCATACGCTTATACATACATAACATATAATATAATGTATAACAGGATTTACATCGGTATTTTTTTCGGTATACATGCCTACATACGTACATACGTACGCACGAATACAGGGTGAATTTTAAATAACACATTGCGTCTCGTTATCGAAACATTTAGATGCATTATTTAAAGTGGAACCCTGTATGTGTAATTATATCTGCGGACAAAGTGGAGAATTCTCACCTTATTTATTTATTTTTTTTTTTTTTCTCAAAATACATACCTTTCATTCGCGTGCCTCATTCTATGACTTTTCTTCGCAAAGGTTTTTACGCAGCAATAATACATTCGTTTATGTGACACGATAATAGTTGCAGTAAACATTAGGCAAACGACAACGAATGATGAGTTCTTAAGAAACATTATCTTTCGATATTATCGAAATGGAAAGACAACCATCGTTCTTACAGTTGTCCTTTCTCCCTATGATGACACTCACAACCTTCTGCATTCACTCTACAATCTTTTTCAGTTGTTATCAATATCACAATGGTTCAATATATTGACTATTACATAGTAATTTTCTTTAACTTCTAGAAACGCGTTATGAATGTATTATCGATTTTTTCACCTTGAATGTAATTCTCTTTTCTCCTCTCCCTACTTGGCGACACTAATATTTACGGCTGAGTGTATAATATATATTTTATGGTCGTTTTTAATCTCAATCTCGCAATCGTGTTGCGTTTCTACGACAGTGTTTTGGGCGCTTCCATTTTTTTTTCCGCTTTAAACAAAAATTTTCCATCAATACTATATATACAGATAAAATAAATAGAAGCGTAAGAAGTGTAGACCATAAAAATATAAGAATCCTTCCATTGAGACTATTTTCTTACAAAACTTTCTACTATTACTAACTTTTTTTCGATCGATTATCAATTGACGTACTGTACTTGATAGATTGATGAGTCCTACATTTATAAAATAACTTTATCGAATGATAACGTCTTCAAATACTTATCTCGTAACGTAAAGCATCTTCGTAAAAAATAAATATTGCGGATAATTCTCCAAACAATTACACATTTTGTAGCTGCCGTTATCGGCAAAGTAACAATCAGTAGCTTGACGTTCAGGCTTGGTTAAACCTTCATAAAATCTTATTTTCATCGTTATACACACTTATACACTTACGTTTACATACGTATTGAATTATACTCAAATTGCATTTTTATTATTACGTGTAAATATATATCGCGCTTTCAAATTTCCATTTTTGGTCTCGCTCGTGCGCGCGTAAATGGAGCCTTATCCGCCCACATCTGGACAAAACCTTACACATTCTCTGCCTTCGTGTGCGAGTACTCTCTCATGGACGGTGATATAAAACGACGTAGTTTTACGGATCATATGACACGCGAAATGTTTAAAGAACACTAAATCCTAAATATCTAAAATTTTAAACAAGCAATTTGCAGTGTAGTTTCGTTTTCTCGTAACTTTATCTGGCATACTAATTAAACGCTTTTACAATGACGATTTTTGCCGCAAAAATAACAAGTAAAATATTTTCGTAATGAAAGTGACTTTCCGTGCGTTGTTTCATAAAATATATAATGTTTCGCGTGCATACAATGGAATATAAAAGTTCGAGGGATTAGCAATTTTTTTTACTTCAGCTGTAATATTATGATACACCAGCAGATGCATACATTGCTATGCGATGCACTGTTTTTATACCTACAAGTGTATACATATTGTATAGTATATTTAATGTAAGTAGAGATGCACTTTTATATTTATATGTGACATACATAAAAGAAATATGAATAAGAGCGTAATTTTTCTTATTATTACCCAAAGATTTAAAAAATTTTATACAGAGCGTTTATCAATATACACTTTTTAAACAGTGTGCAATCAAATATAAATACCTCGCTGCTCAAAACAATTAAAGAATCACTATTTCGGTTAATATTGTAAATTAAAAAAACATAACATATTTATTAAAAGTCAAGTTTGAACGTAAGAAGAGTTTTTCTACGGCAGATACCTCCTGGAGAATTGAAGAAATAATGCTCCAATCGTTTCAAGCAGTGCATATCGAGTAAAGAAGATTATGATGGAAAGATAGTGCTGCATAGTAAAATCTCATTCAGTATTGATTATACGTGACATCAATTTATGGCACTTTCGCAGATTGCATGCTAATAGCTGCATGAAAGATTTGCAAAGCACTTGTAACATGACATCCGAAAACTAAGTAATCTAATATGTATATATAGTACAAGTTAAGTTATACGTTCAAAAGATAATCCGGAATTTTGCATGATTGCAGGATGCTTATGTACTATGATTTTGAACATAGTATAATCAATCGTATACGGCTTAATACAATGTATTTGTGCTAATATTATGGACATACCTAATGGCTTGTGTTTATTCATAAGAGAAAAATGTCTATAGCGTCATAATAATGCGTAGACAATTTAAAACTTTATGTAAAAATTGTACAAGTTCAAGTATATTGCAACGTAATGAGAAGACAGTTGACATGCAAAAATATGCGAATATGTTTGCGCGAATTAATCTCTTCGTAATTAACACATATAGATGGTATACGTGTTGATTTGTGTGTATAAGACATAAGAGAGATATGTAAAAGACTATAATGTTGTAATTTGTTATGAACATAGGGAATAAATTATATTAAAAGCCGTTACGACATACAACATTAACTTTTAGCTTATTGCGCACATGTGAAAGTGCTTCCTTATAAATTATATATCAGATTTCTTTTACATTTAAACACTAATGGAGGCCAGGACATTATTTTATTATATTAAAAGGTCTGATATAAAAGTGTGAAGATATAAAGCATGAATTTAAATAAATTTATATTTTTTATAATTCAAAATTGTTTGTCGCCCAAGTTATCATAATCGATGACGATAATGCAAATTATAAGTGTAAAATACACGTCTCTTCTATTACAAATTAAAAGTGACAGTGAAAAAGTATTAAATAATAAGTAGAATAATAATGCTGTATCTTTTAAATTATATGTAAAAAAAAATATATATATATATATTTCAAATTATGTTTCTATTAAAATTTAAACAATTGCATCAGTCTTTACACTGTCGAATATAAATCAATTTCTTCCAAGAAAAGGGTCGGGAGAGAGAATATATTATAATAGAAAAATATATATAGGTATAAAATATAGAAAATCATTAAATTAATACGAAAATGGTGGAAGTAATTCTAATTATCACTTAAGACTTCACTGAATTCTTAAAGGTATTTCTAACATAAAAAATTGATGATGATAAATAATTTTTAAATATTTATTATACTGATGCAATAACAGAATTTATCTATATTACAAGCATGCTTTTATATATTGTGATTTTACTATATAAATTTAAACAGTCTTATCAACATAATACAATAAATTTTTATACCAGACCTTTATGTATAGTAAAGTTAATAAATGGTAGCAAAGTCAATATATTTGCCTTACATTAAATATTTCATTTCTGATTCAGATTTATAATAATTTATTTGCATTAAGCACCAACAGCTAATGCAATTTATCAGTAAAACTGAAAATTTGTATTAATAATAAAAAAATAGTCTAATACTCATTAATACAATGCATGCCTATGATAGACATACTTTGTTATTTTTAATTGGTTTTCTATCATATTTAAAAATTTCGTTACCTAATAGTCGTATCTATATTAAATTCTTTATTGTGTTATTTAATTTGTTATTTTACCCAGTGTGAAAAATGAAATGATGTTTAATACTGTTCCATTCACATTACACAAATAATTAATGATCAGTTTTAATAAATATATTCCTAGCATAGAAAAACGAGCTCAAGTCATAAACGCGGACACATTTAATGTGCTCTTAGAAAATGTGATAAAGTTTATCATGAAGAGAATATTTCGTTTATAAGAGAAAAGAAAAACATATCGTAATGAAATCAACGCTTAAAGCTATAACAATTATTAGAAAAGTGAGCTCGATACACAGTGAGTCGATGTAGAAAAAACCATTATAGTCATTTTATGACAAGAATTCCTCTTACGTGAAGAAGTAAAAAACTCTATGTATTGTGTAATAAAAAACGCTCAATTCCTTTTTTTTGAGGGTAGAAAATTGATGTATATGGGTGGACACATGGTCTCGATTTGTCTCATGTAGAAAATGAACAGTCAATGTCTCCGACGCTCATTTTTGGCTACAATATCGCGTATTATGAATTTATTCTTAATTAAACAAATCTAATTTTATCTTTGCGGTACAGACATTAGAATTCTCGTTTTTTATTGGCACGCCCTCTATAAGATCTATCCTTCATAGGTCTTACATCCGCAAAATATAAAGAAAAAGATATTTCAATACTTTAATACAATATTTTAATGCTTATTAGTGCTGTGGTGTAATGATAAACAAAATGGAAGAGAAAAACTAGTTATAAATACCTATATATCGAAGGACAGAAGAATCATTTTCTTAAACTCAATGATGCGTCCAGGATGGATATTATCTCAGATGTAAAAAGTGTTGCACAATTATGACACAACATCATGGCTTTCAGTTCTTGCATAAGTGTGTACATATAACTATCTTCAAAACTTATAAAATCTTACACTTTTTCGAACGTCGTCGCTTTTTTTGATTTTTGTCCAATTCGTTCGGTGGTTGATTTTTGATAATACGTACAACCTTAAACAGATATTGCAAACTTGTATATTAAATAAACAATAAAAAGGAAATTGTAATAATTTAATCAACAATCCTTTTATTTTTGCTTCTTACCTCGTGAAATGCAGTATCTACATTTAACGGTGGATCTTTGGCAGAAGTTTCAAGATAAGGTATGCCCAAACGATGAGCTAATTCTCTCCCCTGTTCCTCGGTGACTTTTCTCAAATGCACCAAATCAACTTTATTGGCTACCAACAGCATAGGGTAAACATCTCTATCTTTCACTCGCAAAATTTGTGTATAAAAATTCACAATATTTTGATACGACTGTTTATCAGTCACGGAATATACCAAAAGAAATCCATCACCCTTGCGCATGTATTGTTCACGCATGGCACTAAATTCTTCTTGGCCAGCTGTATCCAACACTATAAAAACATAAACACACATGAGAAATTTATTATAGAAATTGTTTTTAACGTTTTATATATCACAATTTTTTAGTTATAGAATATTATTAGATTTTCAAAAGTTAACAAAAATACATAATTGAAATACTTTGACAATAATTTGTGGAAAAGTAGGAAATGAAATTTACCATCCAAGATACAGTACTGGTTATCCACTTTCGTGTGTTGAATATAACTATCTTCGATTGTTGGATCATAATCCGCAACAAATAGCTTTTGAAAGAATTGTATCGTAAGAGCACTCTTGCCGACCCCTCCATCTCCAACAACAACTAGCTTAAAGGTTACAAGATTGTCATTGTTGGGAGGACGTGTCATGCCTCTGGATCTTCCGCTCCTTCTTCGTCTACTACCGTTCCTACGTCTGCCTATCCTGCCAAATCTTCTAACGTATCTTTTTGGCAGTGCAAACGCTCGTAGGATATTAAGTTGCTTCGTCGATTTGGAAGATCCTGCAACAATCAACAATGAAAAAATCTATACAAGCGTTCAGTAATAAAAATGCGTAGATCATCCAATATCAAAAGAAATATATTTATCCACAATTGTTTACATAAAATTTGTGAATAAAATCGTGACAGAACGCATAATTGAGATAACGGGTGTGTCAATTGCGCGTGAAGTAATACGAAAGTAAATTTGTACGTCGATCTTTGTCGAGAGACGCTTACAGTTTTAACGTAATTCGTGCGCAATGGGTGGAATATAATTGTTTTACGCGAAAAATTCCTATCGTGAGAAATCTCTTACCTTACATGATCCGCCACTCCTGCTTCTTCTACTGGCAGCTGTCAGTTTGCAAGTATCGTGCGCAAATATATCCGCGCGTAATACGGAGAGTACTCTCTGCGCGTTTGCAATGATAAATATAATACATATACTTTCGTACTACATGTATATATACGCGACATACACGACGCGCTTCACTGCAAAGTACCGTTGATATGAAATATGCTATAGTATGCTACAACAGGTAGTACCAACTTTTACGACGCTTACCAAAATAACGATTCACGAATATTTTAATACATTTTATTGTATTTATTTAAAATATTAATATTAGATATACATTTTAATTGCAATATTTTTGTCTAACATTAAAAATAATAAAAAAGATTTATTTGTTAATAAATATTTGCTAAAATTAAAATTTTTAATAGCGTTTTCGATTATACAGGATTTGAACGACCAGGGTTGGTTAATGACGTCATTGCAACCTCTCCACCAATGAAAGACTTGCATTTATAGTAAAATAGTGATTGATCAACCCTGGGTCGTTCAAATCCTGTATAATCGAAAACGCTATAAGTGGGCAATGTAGGTTTTGCTACTAATTTAGGGCACATCCATAAGAAGATGCATAAGGAAATAAACCAATCAATTTCCTTATGCACATGCTTATGCACTATACAAGTGTGGCTGGATATATCCTCAAAATATATATCCGCTCAATCGCTGTGATTGCCGAGGTGTGTAAAATGGTAAACTCTCATGTTTTTGGAGGTTACTTTTGTGAAAGAGAGTATCTTTTGAGTATTTGCTTATGTGATTGTGTGAGAGAAATTTGTATTTATTTGTATGTTTAAAATAATAATAATAATATAGGAGTATATCAAAATAGATGTATATATTAAAGTTTTAATTTATATAATGAATGATACAATTATATTTGTTTTGAATATTCCATCAAACCTATTGTTTATATAAACAAGATAGACGTTGGAAACACCGTAAGTTGAATATAATTAATAATGATTATTATTTATATTAATTTCTTATTGAATCAAATCAGTTTTTATATTAAATAATTATAAATACTACATGTGAACCAAGATACAGTTTTAAGGTTATGTTAGACTTATAACGGTTGCCGGTCATCACCGATATTACTGATGATATATTTATAAGAACAAATATATAAAGAAATCTTGGATTTTTAAATAATAAATTAATTAAAAATATAATCTGTGAAAAGTAATATCACTTTTTTTCTCCAATTTGAACATTTTTAGGATACTTTATTTTTAGGAATTGTTTCTAGGATAAACATTGGAAATTAAATTTACACAAGTATCAAAATGGATGCTGATCTATATGATGAGTTTGGAAATTATATTGGTCCTGATTTGGCATCAGAGAGTGAAGATGAAAATGAATATGGTAATGTTGGTGACGATGCCGAGGACAGAGATCGATCTGATGAAGAAATGGAAGAAGATAAGGATGAGTTACGAGAGCAAGGAGAACAAGGATCTTCTATGGCAGTTGTATTACATGAAGATAAACGATATTATCCGAGTGCATTAGAAGTATATGGACCTGAGGTAATAAAATCATATCAATAAATGAAAGCTATCTATATCAATTGATTTTTAATATAATCTATTTTCATAGCATACAATCACAATTATATGTTACATATAGTTAGATTAATATGTTAGTTTTATTAAATTTTTTACAACATATTAGTTCTTTGCCAATAAAAGCAGTATTATCATTTGCAGCTGTCATATCTTTTATATAAAATCTGCATGTTTCTTTTAGGTAGAAACACTTGTGCAAGAAGAAGATGCCCAACCATTAGATAAACCATTGATAGCACCTACCAGAAAACCAAAGTTTCAAATAAAGCAACAACAGCTTCCTGAAACAACATACAGCATTGAATTTTTAGCGGATATGATGGATGCGCCGCATCTAATTAGAAATGTGGTTTTGCTAGGTCATTTGCATCATGGCAAAACCACTTTGGTCGATTGTTTGGTACAACAAACGCATCCTTATTTACACAATGTAACCGATGAAAAACCTTTAAGGTACGAATGGAAATGTAGATAATATTAATTGCATAATTTTTATTCAGTAAAACGGAACATAATTTTTATTTATGCATTATCAGGTATACAGATACGTTGTTTACCGAGCAACAGAGAGGCGTTTCCACAAAAGCTACTCCCGTCACTCTTCTGTTACAAGACGTCAAATCTAAATCATATCTTTTGAACATATTTGATACACCAGGCCATGTGAATTTCTCCGACGAGGCTACAGCCGCAATACGCCTGTCAGACGGTGCGATATTAATTGTCGACGCGGCGGAGGGTGTAATGCTGAACACCGAACGTCTGCTGAAACATGCGCTCCAAGAAAAGCTCGCTTTAACAATCTGTATAAACAAGATAGATCGTTTAGTCTTGGAGTTGAAACTTCCGCCTACTGATGCCTACTACAAGCTGCGGCATATCATTGAGGAAATCAATGGATTGATAGCATTATACTCGGACACCGAGAATCCTACCTTTGTTTCACCGGCTGTCGGAAATGTCTGCTTCGCCAGTTCGGAGTACAATGTGTGCTTTACTCTAAAATCGTTTGCCGCACTCTATGCCAGGAACTATCCTGGTCTTAACGCCAATGAATTCGCCAAACGACTCTGGGGCGATATTCATTTCAATCCTAAGACGCGAAAGTTCACCAAAAAGCCGCCACATAATACGGCACAACGAAGTTTCATTGAATTCATCTTGGAGCCTTTATATAAGATATTCGCACAGGTTGTTGGCGATGTGGATACAACGTTACCCGATGGTAAATTTTGTCGCCTTTTCTATTAAGTATGGTTCTTCAAAGATAAACAATGATATATAGAAGATAATAATAACCGCACTTTTAGTTGCTTTGCTTATCATATCATTAAATGTCTTTTTTGCGTTTGTTCCAACTAGAAATTAATTTTTTTATTATAAGCGATAATTGTATAACTATGGTTTGCAGTTCTGGATGAGCTCGGTATACGATTAACCTCTGAAGAGATGAAGATGAATATACGACCACTATTGAGACTCGTTTGCACGCGATTTCTGGGAGATATGTGCGGATTAGTCGACATGTGTGTCACTCATGTACCTAGTCCACTAGCGCACGCTCCGGCTAAAGTACAGCACGTTTATACGGGTCCAATTGATTCGCCACTCGCGCAAGACATGGTCAACTGTGATCCGGACGTTAGTATATTAACTACAATTATTGCTATTTATCTTATGCAGTATCAGTAGTGTCAGAGTTTAGTAATAATATTATAACACATTTGTATGTGCGATAGAAAAGTAACTTCAACTTATTCCATCCAATTAGTTTTGTAGAATAAATTAATTGCAAACACACACACACCAGCTGTACTGAGATTTCGGTATTTTTTTTATATTGCAAGCTTTTTTATCTATTTTAACATTAGATTTTCATAAGAATCAGTCTTTGCAATAATTTTACACAAACAATCGACAACTCTATTAATAATAAAATATTTCTTTAGGGAAGATTGATGATTCACAGTACGAAGATGTATCCGACTGAAGATTGTACTCTATTCGTGGTACTTGGCAGAGTAATGTCCGGTACATTGGAAGCGGGACAGCGCGTTCGCGTGTTAGGCGAAGCGTATTCGCGCACGGACGAAGAAGATTCACGCGTTCTCACAGTGGGCAGATTGTGGATCAGTGAAGCGCGTTATTCCATCGAACTAAGTCGAGTACCTGCGGGCAATTGGGTCCTCATTGAGGGTATTGATCGCCCTATTGTAAAAACCAGCACCATCACGGATCCCAATAATTCGGAAGAGTTGCATATCTTTCGTCCGCTCAAATTCAACACGCAGAGTGTGATCAAAATCGCCGTTGAGCCAGTCAATCCGTCCGAGCTGCCGAAGATGTTGGACGGGTTGCGAAAGGTAAACAAAAGTTATCCTTTATTAGGAACACGGGTGGAAGAGAGCGGCGAGCACGTCGTGCTGGGAACTGGTGAACTTTATCTTGACTGCGCGATGCACGATCTTCGTCGCATGTATTCCGAAATTGACATAAAAGTGGCCGACCCAGTAGTCGCCTTCGCAGAAACTGTAGTGGAGACCAGCTCTCTCAAATGCTTCGCTGAAACACCTAATAAACGAAATAAACTGACAATGATAGCGGAGCCGCTGGAAAGGGGTCTTGCTGAAGATATAGAGGCGGAGCATGTGCGCATCACGTGGAACAAGTAAGTAATCGCATAATCTTGATTGACATTTCGCGAGGAAAAAACATCACAAAAATTCGTACATAATATAGAAAATCTACTGTTACTAATTTTTAATTATTTTACAGGAAGAGATTGGGAGAATTCTTCCAAACAAAGTATGATTGGGATTTATTGGCAGCTCGAAGCATATGGGCATTCGGGCCTGATTCTACAGGACCTAACATTCTAGTGGATGATACTTTACCTTCCGAAGTAGATAAAACACTGTTAAATAGTGCGCGTGATGCCATTATTCAGGGCTTTCAATGGGGAACACGCGAAGGACCGTTGTGCGAAGAGCCGATTCGGAATGTCAAATTCAAGATCCTTGACGCAGTCATCGCGCAGGAACCGCTACATCGAGGAGGTAATTTCATAAATTTCATAATAACACTATGATAATAGTTCATAAAGAATAGCTAATGTGGTATAAAAAGTATTAAAGACATATTTAGACAAATTGACAAAAGTTCACATTTATATCATATTCATGATATATATTCAAGATATCTTAACTTTGCAAAATACAAAATATATTTTATAAATTTCGGAAGAAAACTTTTGAAATTAGCTAAAAGAATTGTTTATACACGATATCAAAATGTTGGAAAAGCCAGAGGCCTTCCTATTGTCAATTACACGCAAATTGCATCAGAAAGGGACATTCTAGACGAAAAGTTGATGGGACAAAATATCGCAAATATTGAATTCTATATTCTCAGGTGGTCAAATTATTCCTACCGCTCGACGTGTCGCATATTCTGCTTTCCTTATGGCGACTCCGCGACTGATGGAGCCATACCTGTTTGTCGAGGTACAAGCGCCTGCAGATTGCGTATCCGCCGTTTACACGGTATTGGCGAAACGGCGAGGTCACGTGACGCAGGACGCTCCGGTTCCGGGTAGTCCGTTGTACACGATTAAAGCGTTTATACCAGCGATTGACAGTTTCGGCTTCGAGACAGATCTCCGAACGCATACTCAAGGACAAGCGTTCTGCCTGTCTGTGTTTCACCATTGGCAAATCGTGCCTGGAGATCCTCTAGACAAAAGCATCACCATCAGACCATTGGAACCGCAACCGGCCACTCACTTGGCCAGAGAGTTCATGCTGAAGACACGAAGACGCAAGGGTTTGTCCGAGGATGTGTCGATCAATAAATTCTTCGACGATCCCATGTTACTCGAATTGGCTCGGCAGGATGTGCTGCTAAATTATCCCCTTTAATAAGTATGTACTACATAAATGTGACATGTATAAGATATATGATTAAACATTAAATATTTTTACGAAGAGAGAAACGTGCATTCCGCATGATTTTAAATGCTAATTCCGCACTTTTTCCTATCAAAACATTCCTCTAATAAATTTAGAAAGATTATATAATTTTGTATTAAATAATAGTTTTCATAAAAAAATAAAATTTTTTAAGGTTAACTAGTGAAATGGAAAACTTGCAGATTGTTCTAAATGAGAAAAGTATATGTATTTTAAATTTGCTCTTAAAGATCAACATTTAAATCTGTTGTATAGTTTTGTCAATTTTTCATAGGCTAAAATTTTATATTTTTATATCGTTATTTAATTTTTCCACATCATTTTACTAATAAAATATAAATAATTTTATTAACTAACTTATAAGTGCGTTACAGTTTATCAATGTATAATATTTAATTTCTTTGTTTTTTCGTTTATTTTTCATGTACATTCAATAAAAAAATAAGAAATTTTTATATTATAACAATATATAAAATAAGTTCTGAAAGAAGTATATTAGATTCGATGATCGCGTTACATATTAATATAATTAACACTTCATATAGTAAACATAAAGAATTATAAATATACCGAAAAATGAAATAGTAATCGTCAATATGTATTGATCAAATAGTATTGCAATTAAAGAATATTATCTGCATTTTAATTCCAATAATATATTTTCAACTATTTCAAACTTACAAGTAAAAATAAGAACGTTACATACGCGAAGCATGCTTTAAATTAAATAATGATTCCTATTTCGTAATGAAATAATTTACGAATATGTAGATTTACAAAATGCATTATCAAGTTAAATCAATTAAAAACAGTAAAAGGTCAAATTTCTCTCTTCTTGTGTGTTTATTATCGAACCAATATTCGTGAAGTTACTTTTTACTTTGAAATTACCTTTTATATCGAAACTTATTTTTAAATTTAAGTAACGATACCTATTCTTTTATTTATTCAAATTTATTTTATAGATTAACAACGCAGTGCCTTTTCCTTGTTCTCTCATCCTTAAATCCGATCGCCAAGCGAAGAACGACACAGGTATTTTTTGAGACGCACTCATTTTTATTCGATTCTTTCTAAATTTCCCTTTTCCACTTATTGTTAAGGCGGGAGCACAGACTTTTGCATAAAGCATAACGCATAAGCATAAGGAAATTGATTGGGGTCCGTTTCCTTATGCATTTGCTTATGCTTATATATAGAC